CCTCGGCTGCCTTCACAAAGCACCAGTTCAGAGAGACATCGGTCTGGACCTCCCTTCAAATAAAGAAAATACGCTCAGAGTATGTAACATTTGAGTTTAAAGGAGTGGATACCCTACTCCCAGTGGTCTTTGAGCAGAGGGATGGTGGCAGCAGATGTCTGACCAAGACAGAAGGGGAGACACCAGCCCAGCACAGAGCTCCAGGGGGCTCCTGGGGGCACTTAGAATACTTCTAAGTGTTTAGAAGACAACAGTGAAATAACACGGTCTCTTTGCAGATTAATCTAATTTTTCTTCCTAATACAGCGCCTGGCATGGCGAATAAAGGAGCAGCAGCAGATGGGACATGTCTTCAGTAAATGGTTTGATACTCTCCCATGCTGTATTCTCATACGCAAAACACAGTCAGTGCGGGCTGGCGTTAATCGATATGAGGTAGGTGCAAAATTTGCTTGGCAAGAAGAGAAGTTTTACAAGAGCCCTCTTGGGCTTAGTTTTATTTGATATTTTCATTCATGGTTTGAATGTTGAAATAAAAGGTAGCTTGTAAAGGCTGCAGATGTTGCCAAAGAACTCCAGGCATCCTCACAGACATTTTTGGACTAAAATCCAAAATGAGTATGAGAAACTGGAGAATGGATCCAAAAATCAAGAGACTAAAATGGAACATGAGTCCAGTGCAAATTACAGGGAGGAAAAGTGAGCTGCATATGTGCAAACAGGAGCACGAAGGCAAGGCAGAAGCCCTGCAGAAGAGGCTGTGGGGCCCAACTGCATCCCAGACTGGCCCTGGTGCTGCAGGGGACGTTGGTGTGAACGATGGTAACATCTCACCAGGGCTGCTGGGGGATCTCCTTTCTGCAGCCCCCCTGGACCTCAGCAGGAGCATCCTCTGCAGCTGAGCGAGCTGCGCGTCTGGGCATGGCATAAGGGTATGGACAAACGAACTCGTCATGCTAGGAAGTGCTATTACAGGCTATTCGCAGATGTACTGGAATCGTCATTTAGATTTTTAAGAACATTAGACAAATCCCCGAGTATGCTGGCTTGTTGGAGTGGCTGGGCTATGTGATCGCTTCGGTTACAGCCTTACCGTGCCATGATGCTGCCACTGGTCCATCTCTTCTGGGGTCTTTTTTCTTACAATTTGCTTAGGCCAAATGTCATTGTAAAGATTAGGACAGGAAAAGGGAATGAAATGGAGATGATTTTTTAAAATTATTTTTCTTTTTTTGGTTGTTGGTAGGCCTACCGCTTGCATTTTGTGGGCTGCTCTGGTCTCTTCTCTCTCTCTGCCATCTCCAGAAAGGCTCCATTAGACCTGGGAAAGGGTCGAAGAAGGGCAAGAAGGAAGGTTAAAAGATACAGCAGCATTTCTGGCAAGGAACAATTACAGAGATCCGAGCTGTTCAGGTGGAAAGAGACAACCCAAGTGCTCTAGGATGGAGCCTGTCTTCCTCTAGACCTGGAGAAGCTAACTGAGAAATGATTGCTCACAGCCTGTCATGGTGCAGGTAGCAAAGGTGTCCATCACAAGGGACAGGAATGAAGCTGAAGACGAGTAAGAACTTCTTCTTGCTGCTTGTGACTGAAGCAGACAACCCACTGCGTACCAGAAGTTTATGTGGGTCCAAAACACAACAGGACATGTCATTGGAGGAAAAAACAGGCTGCTGGAGACAAGTACCCCTCCCGCTGGGAGTCCTGAGCTGCAGTGTGCCGGGGGCTGTGGACTCTGCTGGGGCCACCTCGCCGGGTAACGTGTGGTGGATAATCCTCTTTTCCTAAACATCTGCTGTTGGCTGTTACTGGAGACAGGATCACGGGCGGGTCTGTGCCTAACTATCCTGCTTATGTGAAAGCCTGAGGCTTATTTCTGCTTTTCCTCAGTAAAGTGAACTAATACTTGAGAACAAATTCAAGCATCAGTGTTCCACCAAAAAATGAACTTGTACAATAAAATTTAGAACAGTTTCCCTTTGGGCTAATTGCTTGGGTTTGTTTAATGGCAAGTTTTGGCAGCACTGTTTGCAAGTTGAAGATCCCGTCTTTGATTTTGCCCCTAAATCATGACAGTCACCAGGCTCTCTCCCCCTGACCTCGCACCCTCCCAGTTTATTGCCTAATCTTTAGAAACATTTATGGAAAAGCTGGCCAGATGATACTGAGAAATACTTCTATTTCCAGAAAGCTGGCAGACATGTGCAGGTCACTGCTGTGCCTCGTGAGACGTGTGAACAAAGACTTGCACAACAGCTTGAGGAGTACAGCGTGAGCAAGACCACAGCTTGGCCTCAGTTGGCTTGAGAAAGCCAAGAACGTAGCCAAGAAAGTCCAAAAAGGTCCTTCTCTTTGCAGGCGTTCATGGGCTGGGCTGGCTGCCTCACCCCTTCTAGCTCCTCTCCAAACCTTGTCTTCTAAACCCCGTGCTTTCCCGGCGGTCCACTTTGCTCCGGGTTAGTAGAGGGTGTTTTTCTTCCACGGACTGTTTCCCAGGCGTGAGAAAAGCCGCGGGTTTGGACCGAAACGCAATGCACGCGGTGGCACCCTCTGCCAGCAAAGGGCACTGGGCTGGAAGGGCGAGTGTGTGTGTCCATGTCCACCCGGAGCAAACCCCCACAAGACACCACCCGGGGCTGGAAGTACCCCGAGGAAGCAGCGCTGCCGGCTGATGCTTTACAGTCTCTGCTTTCTTGGCGAGAGCGATGGGTACCTGTACTGCTACTTTCTAAACCCTGGGAAACGCCATTTGGACCCTCAGCGTCTGTACTGCACTTAAAATAAACCACCAGAGGAAGAACACAAGTTCAAAAAAAATTTCTTAATTTATTGCAAATTCTCCTTTCATCTGTGCTGCAATTCCAGTGTTCTGCACATTAATAAATATACATTTGTTAAAAAAAAAACCTCCAGTGTCTAATCTGCCATAAAGCTTTTAAAAAGTCATAAAAATAGGTTTTAATTTTTTTGTCATTAATACAACTGACCCTCATTTACTGCAACAATTCTGATCAAAATAAAAACTACCTACATCTCACTGGGACAAAATATACATACACAGATGTAAAAACAACTAGCGTGGGTTATACACAATGCCTGAGCACACAGCCAAGTGCCAGACCCTTAAAACATTCAAAACTTTTTTCAGTCAGAAAATGTCACACAGTATGTTGCATAATTTTTAAAGGAACAGCATCCTTCCTCCCTCTCCCCTTCCAAAGGCCTCCTCGATACATTTGAAAATGCATAGCAATATAATGAAACCAAGACTACAGTATATATTATTTCATTTTTTTCCTCAACTCCTGCATTCTGTTTAGCCCGATTTTCTGTTTTTTCCCTTTCACACACACAGTTACACAAATGAAAGCCAGTATTTTCCCAAAAGGGCTGCTAAGGCGCGCGAGGAGCTCCCGAAAGCCTTGGCGGCAGAGAGCAGGTCACGGCCACACCATTGCTGCCCTTTGAGTCGTGTATTGCCAGCAGAGCTCTGCCCCACGCTGTTGGATGCAAACTTTTTCACATCTTATTTTTCCTTTTCTTGTAAACAGTGCAGGAAGGTGAAGACGGTGGACAGGCCACACTTAACTTTCCTATACTTGTGAAACCACCACATTTTGTGGGAAACATGAAACCTTAAGCCTTCCATGTGCTTTTGAAACACCAAGAAGGCCAGGGCTTTGTCAAAGAACTGGGCAGTGAAACCTGGACATCCTTAAAGACTCCTATTTCTGCTTTGATTAGCAACGTGCTGACTCCAGTGGGAAAGAAATTAACAGTAAAATAAGATACTGCACCTGAGGCAGAACTTGCCCGCAGGAGGAGGGCCCTCTTGTTGGGCAGAAGCGCTGGTTTGTCACAGAGCCAGACCAAAGTCAAAACCTACCACACAATGACACCACTTGTTTTGTTCTTCCTAAGGGAAATATTGATTTGACTTCTTCCAGGCAAGGACTGTGTTGAAATCTTAGACGAAGACATGACTTACTTTTAGTCCTGAAGTTCAGTTGCTGAACATTTCAATGCACTTGAGAGAAGAGGTCAAAACACCAAGAAATGAAAAAACAATACACTTTTTGTGAGTTTTAGAAGAGGTTACGAAAAAACATACTGTGTCCTTAAAGTGTTCCAAAACCTGTCAACAAAACTTATAAATTATAGTCACAGATTTCGATGTAATCTTCACTGTATTACTTTGAAAACTGCATTGCATCTTAAGGTGGCTTCCATGCAAACCTCAGTTACTTTATCAAATGCCAAATTCAAGTAAAATTGTGCAATGTTCATATAAAAAATATCAAAACCTCTTTTAATTGATTTCCTATAATCAAATTAAGAAGATCAGTATAGATGTAAAATATACAAAGGAACTTTTTCTTTAGCAACACCATACAAAATATATAAAAGTATCTACACTTTTTATATATATATATAAAGGATTTTTTTTTTTCTTAAGACGATGTGTCCATAGGGAGGTGGGTAGAGATGCTGGCATAGAAACGAAAGGACACTTCTTGGGATATTCTTCCCTAGAGCCCAGCAAGCCGAAGGCTTCACACTGTAGCTGGACAAAACTCCACAAGAGACGTCTCCTGGTGCTTGTCTTAAAGGCTGATGGATTGACTTACTGTAGGTCCACTGCGATAATAACGTGTTTTTCCTTGGTTCCCCCCAGTAATAAGCAATCCCTGCAGCACTGTCCATACTGTGAACAGGTATCTGTCCCTCACAGTGCATCCCTGTGGCCATTTCCATGCGTTTTGGCATGGGTTTATGCCGCCCAGAGCGTACCACACAGCAGCCTTATCACAGGTGCATCCGGGCATTGGCTCTGCCGCGAGCGGTCAGGAGTCTGCCATAACGTGAAACCATGCGGGAATCAATGCCCACCTCATCCTCCTCGCTACGCGGCCACTCCGACGAAGTCCAAGGGGGGCAGACGGCGACCCCGCGGCGAGGAGTCCAGAACCGCGCAGCAGCGATCACAGTTTCCTGATGGTTCAAATTGAAGTTTCGTTACTGCCTCTGTTAGTGAGAAGAAGTAATCATGCAGGCTTACGGTTAGACAGGCACAGGCAAACCACTCCACCCAAAACCACCTAATCCTTTTTAGTAAGGGCTTATGCTCCGTGAAGTTACCATGCCTTGCCAATCCAACACTTGCAAGGGGAATGCTGCCTTGGAGAGGAAGACCAGCTGGGAGAAACAATTCCAGGCAGTACACAAGAGATGCACTCTTTAGAGGAAGCTCTACTGAGGGCTTGCATCTGTGTAACGCTTAGGTGAAGATGTGAGGTTCACACACAAGCTGTTAGAAACCTGGTATTTCAGACAAATTCATGTATTCTGCTGTCAAACAGCAGAGTTTTACAGTATGCAAAAGGTGCAGAGATAAAACAGTTGCTTAGTGTAAGTTGGCTGTTATTCTCCAGTGATCTATGTATTACCTGGTAGCAGCAAGTAGTTACTGCTTGTTATCTCTGTTTCCTGGCTAACCAGGATATACTTCAACAGCCAGTTCCCAGGAACCCAAAGATGGACTTTTGTAGTGAGCTGGGAACGGTCTGTGCACCCAGACAACATGAGTGTGTAAAGCACGGTGGGACAACATCAGAGTTAAAGCTGAGTGAGAAATTTTCTCTTGGTTTGGAGAAAGAACGAGACTATTATTTGTGTAATTACAAGGAAGACGACATGCATAAAATGTTTGTGCAGACTTTACATATGGCTGTTGTCTTCATTTTAAATCCGAGAATTATGACGAGTAACAAGGTTTCTGAGAACACCCTTTGGCTGAAAGCTTGCTCAGCCTTTTGTTAATGTTTGATTTAGCTTACAATGGCAAATATGCACACCGATCGCCATGCAGCAGGTGGGAATTGCGCACCTGGTAATTTAGGGTCACTAGCTTTACATGGCACTTTCTCTGCAGCCTTTGGATCTCCTGCCCCAGCAATGGTTTCCCTCTGCCCAGCTGGACATCCACCCCATGCTCGCCCCAGCCTAGCGCCTTTCTCCCCCAAAAAACACTGGGCTTGCTCAGGGGTCCTCTTCACTGGGGTCTTGCCCCCACCCACCCTCCTCCATGCTGGCTGCTGGATGCCTACAACAGCTCTTGCTGGTCTTACTGGACACGCATCAAGAAGTGCTGCTCCATGTTTGCCCTGCACTTACCCTCTTCCTTGGGTGCCTGGTACTGGCCACATTATAATTAACTGTACCCCGTTAGCGATAGGTCCCTAATGGCCCAGTCTCCCTGCTGCAGAAAGGGAGGACAGGTGAAAAACAGAGGAAAAAACAACTGTTCCGATGGTCCAAGGGGGGTGAAGGTGAGGGGTTGGGGGTAGAGAAGCAGGAGCAGGGGGTAGCCCTGAGCAGAGCACCCCTGAGGGCATGCATGGCTCTTGGGGCTATGGGTGGGCATGGCTGAGACGTCCTGGATGCCTGGCAGCGTGAGGGAGCAGAAGAAGACCATCCTTGTCCTGGTGAAGGGCTGGGGAAGGCGATGAATGACCTCGGCAGGGAGGGGATAGATAATTCCCGCGGACGTGGGAGCCTGGTTTGCTGTGACCAGGGGTCACCACGCCAAGCGCAGCAAGTCCCACAGCAAGGGGACAGGACAGAGCTAGGTTGCTCTAGTCCCCAGCGTGCCAGTAACACATCAGTGTTGCCAATTCAGAGCATGCCAGGGTGATCAGTGACAGGTGTCTGTCACGGCATCTTGCTCGCGATACCTGGTTTTGGCCTTCTCATCAGTGAAACACTGTGGCTTGCGGACATGGTATGGACAAGCACTCAGGACAGTCACTGGTGATGGGCTCTCGTCCAGTCACCAAGTGAAATCCTTGCTCAGTGGGAGTTTGGGGCTGCAAAGCGGAAGGAGAGGCCAGAGCCATGGGAGGTCTGCCAGGGCATCCCCATGTGGCACTTACTCCGAGTCTGAGGTGTCAGCATGTCCTGTTCCCACGTGGACATTCATGGCCATGCCGTTGAGCTGGTCTCGAGACTGCTCCCTCCGAGCATTTTTTACTGTCACCCCCGAGTCTGAGGGAGAGCGGACCCCATCATTTGTCCCCAGGGAAGTAGTCCTGGATGAGATTGTGGTCTGATTGTAATCCGACAGCTTTTCCCGCAGTCGATTCTTCATATTCTTATCCACTAGCGGGGGAGGGTAGGTGACTTTATTTTTTAAGATGCCTGTTACAGAAAAGAAGGAATAATGAGAATTTTGAAACGTATCAGTAATTTCATTTATCAAGCTGAACATGTCCAAGAAGTGACATTTTATATTCCTTAATCAGACTTCTAGTTTGTCACTTTATTTCAAAACCAAAATATTAGACTTCAGCAACTACCTACTAGCTTCCCATGGCGTTTCTGGTTACACAGGTTGGAGCCATTTGGAAAGTGCTCTTCCCTGATAGGGCTACCATATGAACTAATTAATGCTCATCAATCCCCCCGGTCTCCCAGTCCAGCTGCAAGGCTGGGTTGGCCGTGCTACCTTTCCTCTGCTCCGGCTGCTGGTTATTCTGGTGGGACAGAGGTCTGTTCTCCTTCTGCTGCCCTTCATTCTCCTTGTCCTGGGGTGCTTCGTTGCTGTGGTTCACCTGGTTTTCCCTGTGAAGCTCTACGTTGACCTTGGTCTCAACTTTGAGTTTCTGTTTCCCACTGGGGTCCTCGCCATCGCTGGCTGTTACGCACTCTGTGGGCCAATAGGGTTTCACATGATTGGGAAGGGTATCAACTGCAATGCAAAAAAACACTAGCTCGAAAACCACTTTTGATAGGTTTTCTCAACCGCTGCCCAGCCAGTCCTGTTCTCTGTGGCTGGGGAAGAGCTGTGTGTCAAACCAGTGCAATGCTTCAGATGATCCCTGCTGGACTGCACTGCCCTCGGAGTGCAACAACACCCACAAAACACACTTGGTAAGATGGCAGGGTATCCAAACCCTTCCCAGAGCAAGGTCACTGCCTCTCCACTCACACTGAGAGGTGCGAGTCAAACCTGCTCTCTCAGTTCTCCAGGGCCAGCGATCCCACCAGCTCCCTGGGGATGCTGGCTTTTCTGAGGGGTGAGGGCACCCGAGGCACCTTGTGCTGTGTCTGTGCAGAGCACTAGCACACAGACTAGATGTTTGTCACTCTAAGCTGACTTATCTTTAGGACAAGATGAACTGCGCCTAGAAACGCCTGCACTCTGCCACACAGTAGTGATATCAACGGCCAATAATCTCCCACTCTTTAGGTCCATGACCTCCCCAACCCCACTAAATTGCATGAGGAGAGGCAGCTATTTCTTCCCCCTGCCCTCAAAATAACCAGCTCCTTCCCCCTCTTCCTCTTCCCTCATATGAGACTTTCCTGGCTGTGTAGCACCTGCCTGCAAACCCACTGACTGCTCTCTGTCTGAGCACCGTAAGTCACAGAATTGCTCAAACATCCTTTCACTTGCACTCAATCACTCCCGTGAACAAGCGCTTGGGAGGAAAAAAAAGCAAGGCACAGTGGTAGGGATGCTGTCTCAATTGTATTGCTAGTCTGGCAAAATTGTCCCATCTACTCTAAAGCTGTTTTAAAGTGCTCCCCCCTTGCACTGGGAGTACCTTTGGGTGTGCTGTGGAGTGGGCCACGTTCATTATTTTTGGAAGTGGATGTGTTCCACTTTTTCTCTGGCTCGAGCCCATCTTCTTCACTGTCTGATGAGTGGGAGGAGGCGTAAGAGCTGCTATGTTCATCGAGGGACAGTTCGCTGTCGGAGTCTGAATCGTGCTCTACAAATGCAGAAAGGGGAAACACAGCAATGAGAGTGTGGACAGGTGTTGAACAAATCTATCTGACAAATGCCCAAGGAGAAAGGAAAGACAGGCATCTGGTTCAGGCCATGCCAGGGATGAGCTCTTATATCCGTAAGCGTACATAGAATTAATTCACAAATTCTGTGGCACCCATCTAAGTAATTATGGGAAGCTTGGCTCAGCTAGGGAGTAGGACCTTTTATGTGCATGGGAGGTGCAGAACAGAATGGGGACACTTTTTACTCTATTCAGTATGCAGAACAGTAACTCCACAGGATCTCAATCAACACAGCACACAGGCAAACCAAGGTACCTAGAAATACCAAGAATCTGCAAATGCACTCCTAAAAACTGCTACAAAGCAACAAAATTTAACATCAAGACCCCAAACGAAAGGAAGTCAGGCAAGAGACACTTCTCGTTTTCTTGTACAAAACACATAGCAGTAAAAGAGGATATTGGCTTAAGGTCTCAAACATTAAAAAATCTCCAATTAAAAATCAAGAGCAACAGCCCATAATTTGTGAGAAAGAAGGGGGATTCCAGAAACTGTCAACAGCTGTGACAGCTGTCAGATTAAAACCGAACCATCACAAGAAGCAGATACATGATATTTCCATTCTGGGATTCCCTAGTAAAGCAACCATTGCATAGCTCGTTATGCCAAGAGCACAATGAGAATCAGACACACCAAGTCAGACTAACTATTCTTCCTATTATAGAAGCCTTTGAAAAAAGTGCTGAGAAGGCAAAGGTGCACAACTGGGTCACAGCATTTAGAAGTAGTTCTTACCATTGGACTTTGATGGATTCCTATGAAAAATGGAGGAATCTGCTTCAGTCTGACCAGCCCTTGCTTGACTTGAGGATCCACTGAGCTTATGAGCAGCCTCATCCCTTAGAGAATAATAACAAGGGACAACTTTCTTGGTCACTTTACTGTTCTTAACAACAAGGCAGACATGCAGATGAGATTCTTCTGGTCAAACGCAGACAGCTGCAGTGGACGCTAGCCAGCCTGTGCCTTGTCAATGTGGTCACTTTTACAGCAAGACATAGGTTATCCTAATGTAGCTGTCTGCCTTTGGCCACATGAATCACACTCTGAAAAAGCCTGAAGTTAATAAGCTAAATCTCACTCCTTGAGACATGACTGAATTTTAACAGGCAAGCAGCATGGCCCATATAGTTAACCTAATAGTTATGTTAACCACTGCATTGTTGGAACTCCCCACCAAAGATGCATGCAAAAGAAAATGCACGGAAGAAAATGACAGTCACATAAAACAGAACTGTTAAGACATAAAACAAGTAACATTTGAACCAAAACATTTCTGTTTTCCACAAGAGCAATGAAAAGGGAAAGGCAAGCACCTGAAAGCCATGCACCTGCCACCTGATTACCTGAGAATATAAGCAAGGTAGCTATTGTGGCTCTTGGCTGACCTGACGGTGCTTTCTAGGGAGACAGTGGATTCCCCAATAGTTGTGCGATACATATTTGGCTCTTCTATATATGTGTTGTTACAGTTCAGAGATCGCTGAAGGGAAAAAAAAAAGACACAAAGCAATAGTGAATGATCCTACCAAAACCCCACGTTACCCACAAGTGCACTAAAAATCTTGAAGGAACCAAGTGGTTTTTGATGCTGAAGAAAAAAATTATTTCCTCTCAAAAGTTTTAATTAAAACAGTAATCAAAATTTTTGAGAGAGGCCATCAGTAATCTTTGTACAAGTCACTGAAACCAGACAATTCACTTAACTACACACAAGCCACCTATAAGTGTATTTAGGAAACTTTTACGAGCAAGAGGATGTTTTCTCCCAGTGTTTTTTCCTTACAGTTAATAATGTAGCTCTTGTTGCAGTGGAATCATCTGGAAGAGGTTTCTTTCCAGTCAAAGTGTTCTTCAAGTGCTTCCTGACTTCTTTGTTAAATACGCAGTGGAAGAAGAAAATGAACAGTCCCTGGATCATTTTAGAGAGAGGAAGAATAAATCTAAATGATTCATTACTACCAAACTGCAAATACAAACAGATATTAGAGAACAGCCTTTTTGAAATAACCCCTGAATTCTAATTCATAGTCCATGATTTCAATAGCAATAACTATTTTCTGTCTTTGACTGAAATGGCATTGATTGACCTCCTAGGACTTCTTCATAATTTGCTTCCATGTTCAAATGTGCATAAAGGGCCTGGGAAAATATACACAATGATGTGTTCCTCCAGGATTTACAGAGCAGAGCTTGTGGTAGGTGTCACCCTCCCTCGTTGTTTGAGAGGAAACGTTCTTCTCAAAATATCTAATGGTGACCTCAATGTCATCACTGGAAGACCCTGCAGGGAGTTTCAGGGTTGTACTTGCATTAAGATTTTAGAGCTTTTACACTGATGAAGAGACAAAATCAATAGTAGCACATAAAAAATATCATAGCCTTTAGTGAAAACCTCTGGAAAAGGGGGACTTCTGTCGTAGGTGTCCTTAATATTGTTGCTTAAAGAACTTTAGAAAGTCTTGTGAAATGTGGAGAGATACTGAGGGCAGAGAGGTCCCAACTTTTGCCCCATATGTTCCTTGGTTCAGCAATACCTCCTGGGGAAATCATTGAAATCCTCAGGGTTGGGCAGTTGTTGGCTGCCAGGAACACACATTAACAGCTTTCACTGGGGGCAGGGGGCACACACACGTGTGCCTTCAGATGTATTTGCAGCTGCCAAACTGTTATCAATTTTGGTTGGAGATATAGTATTTAGAAGCCAATCACTCATGAAGTTGCAGCTGTACCAACATCACAAGATGCCTGCATTTCATGATTTCAGCCAAAGCAATTGACTCAGAGAAACTTTAAAATTCAAGCTCACTTTCTAAACATTCAATCAAATGCAATCTTAGCTGGTATTAGCACTTTGGGATTATTCATTAATAAAATTCACATAAATGTCTCTTTAAAAATACAAGTTCAAAGAAGGCAATGACGTGAAACGCCACATACCACTGTGCCTCTCTGGGCAAGTTTGGAGAATTCCAGCTGCTGACTTCCCTCCCTCTCATCAGGTTTATTTTTAATTTTATTTTATTTTAGGCTTGTGGAAGCCTGGTTTTACAGCCTGAGTATTTATTTCAGAGCACACCAATTGCAGTGGCAAAATAACCTTGCTCCAAGCTGGCCTATCTGGTGTGCTTCCAGGGTATGGACAGTCATCTCCGGAGGAGACCCATCAGACTTCTTTTTCTCTTTGGTTGCAATTTGTGGCTGTTCGCTGCAGCTGGCAGGAGTGGCCTGCTAGCAGTAGCTGTTTTAATACTGCAGGCACTTGCCATGACAGTTACTGCCATCTTGGTCACATTCAAGTTGTGACCAACATGAAGCTTCATGATTATTTCCATGCCAGCTCTCCCACAAATAACTATGTTCTGCATCTTTAATGAGTAAGTGTGCACATTAGGCCAGGCAACCCAGTAAATTCCTAATACAATGAATTGTATTTGAAAATCATTATTTGGCTCATTTCCTTAAACAGTAACTTTAATTTGTGAAAGCCTTGAACTTGGAGCCACCCACTCTGGGTGAAATAAAACAGTCTCTTATTTGCCGTAGCAACAGAACAACTGTTAACAATGAGCAGGCAGAAGACAGTAACAAAGATTTTTGTCTCTAGAAAGACAGAGGTATAATTGCCTTCTATTATTTATCTGTCACAGGTTACAACAGTAGAGCACTTATCTTTACAATGACTAAAAGTGAGAGATGCAATTACTCAAAGTTATGGTTTTGGTGAAAAGAACCCTCTCTGAGAAAAGAGAGCAAAACTTGTATTTGACATCACTGTTCTTAAGTCAGCTCATGTTTAGCAGGTTTTTGGAGGTCTGGGTGCAGCAGTGTGCTCACCAAGGTCTGCCAGGGACAAGACACCATCCAACTTACCTGCAGGCAGCTGAAAATGGCAAAAAGATAGTGAAAGGTCATGACGTCGCTGTTCACCGCCATCAGCCCCAGCAGCCACTGAATGCCGTTCGCAGCACAGAGCTGTAAAGCAAACACAGACGGGTATTTGCAGCACTACAGGATACAAGAGAATAGCCCAACTTCTCCACACGGGCGGTACCACATGCCCAATGATTTCCCAACTGGAAAGTACCTTTGGGAAAATTAGGGCAGTGTTCACCAGCTCCTAGTTCCCAACTCTGTCATTGTGCTACTCAGTAACTTACGTTCGCAGCACAGAGCTGTAAAGCAAACACAGACGGGTATTTGCAGCACTACAGGATACAAGAGAATAGCCCAACTTCTCCACACGGGCGGTACCACATGCCCAATGATTTCCCAACTGGAAAGTACCTTTGGGAAAATTAGGGCAGTGTTCACCAGCTCCTAGTTCCCAACTCTGTCATTGTGCTACTCAGTAACTTAGCATATTCAGGTAAAAAAAAAGTGTTTTCTTTTCAAGTTTATTTCCAAGGTTGTCTTCAAACAAACCAGGCTGTTTGCCAAGCCCACGCTGTTCAGCCTTGTTGACTCTGAGGAAGAGTTCTGGACGGTAAATGGCCACGTCCATCTCATTTCTCTTTGTTGAGTTCACTCTCACATTCCTTCTCAACATTACAGCCCAAGGTTTTGGATCGAGGGCACTGAGGGGAATACTTCTTTGCTTAAAAACATTATTTCCATAGATGCTTTCAAAAGATGGTCACAATTCTAGTGGCAAAAGTTTTGTATTATGAGTAAAATAGCTGCCATTAAGTAGCAATTATACTCTATTTGTTTAGGAGATTTAAAAAAGAAACTTAAAAAAATTACCCAACAGCCAGGGCTGAATAAATAGCTAGAAGCAGCCTTTTGAAATCTCATACAGCTACCTATTTGAAAAAAAAAAAAAAGGGGCTGTCTTGCCACTAGCTAATCACGTTTCAGTTCACAGGTAAATTCTGAGCTTTGGGCAAAACAGACATTAATGGGAACAGGCTGCCACAGCAGCTTGGGAAGGTGGCAGGTTGCAGCTTGTGAGGCTTTCTGCTCGTCCCACGGGGAGCAGGACTGGGGGAGGCTGGTTCTCAGCACGGGAACCTCAATGGGTCTCTACCACAACATGGCCAGTCACCCAGGCATTCGTGAGGGGAGACCTTTCTGAGCCATGGGCGAGCACGGGAAGACCCAGAATTAAGTCTACCAGGACATGCCACGGGTGGAGATGAAGTGACAGTGTAGTATGGAGTCTGATGAAAGATCTGGAAGGACTGTAATGATACCATCCGGAGACCAGACCTTTCCCTCTCCCCTCCCTTCCTGCCTACACTTGGTGGTGGTGCAGAGCATGGTGGAGGTTTTACAGAGTCTCCAAGGGAACCCCAGGAGTAGGTGTTGGTGAAGCAGCTCCAATTGCCTCTACCAATGCTGTCTCCTCCAAATATTTATCTTCCACCCCAACACCCGGCTTTTAGGCAATTCTGTCCCTTTATTATTCCTGGCCAGAACTTTTTCTACAGGTTTTTGAACCCAAACTTACACGACTCCGGATTTTTCAAATGAACGTTGCCTTCTTCTGCATGATGCTTTCATTGCCAGTATAAAGATGACAGTGTTTATCTGAAAAGGAAATTGAAGTAACAGCATGGATTCCTTCTGTAAAGTTGTTAGGGCTCAGTTTTCAATGACAATGCCGTTTTTATCCTAAAATGGTTTGTGGTGCCAAGAATATTTTTCCTTCAATTTACACGTCTCAAAGTTCCAAGACTCATCTTGTTTCAAGCCAACATAGTCAAGAACATCCTGGGACTTGATCTGGATGAAACCCAATAAGATGGCCCTATGCAAAGAGGCTTGAGTGAAACATAAAAACTCAAGAATGGCTATCCTTGTCCAGACCAGAGTCCACTCAGCCCAGCATCTTGTTTCAGCTGGGCCAAAGCAGAATATAGTAACAGAGCAAGCACATAGCGATAATTCCTCTGAACACTCCTCCAGCCTCCACTGATTTCCAGAGCTGGGATGTACTAGGCGAGGTGGTGCGTTTGTACTTATCATTCATTGTGAATATCGATGCTGTGAATTTGTTCAGTTACTTTCTGAAATCATGCAGAGCTTTACCACCGCCATTGTCTCGTTTCTGTGAGTTTCTAACTTAATTCCCTGTGGAGCCACAATGTAGCTCACCCTGTTCTGAATCTGCCACTTCCTACTACTAATTGTGTTGGAAAAGACACTGAATGGTTGGCTCCACGGTCATATTCTCCAGGCCACCATGCTATTACAAGCTCCTTCCTATCCCCTTCTCTGCAGCTTTCTCTTCTCTAGGCTCCTAGTCCACTTAGTTGCTCCTCCAGCGGGGGCTGTCCCATGTCTTTGATGACTCGTGACCCCAATTTATGCCACTTCCAGGTCTACTTCATACTTTTTAAGATGAGGTATTCAAGATACTTGGTATTCAAGATACAGTCACACCACAGATATGTATCTTCTGGTGCTCTGTTACTGAGGGATGTTTTAAGGGATAAGTTAAACACCAGCCAATTCTTTTAAATTCCTGAAATTGGAATTATTTAATATTCCTTTAGGACTTTTGGATGAAGGGACTTGTTATGGCTTATTTTGTTGATTTGTTTTATAAGCCCACTGACCAACCCTTCAAAGGTGCAACAAAGCAAATGGGAAAAAAAAATAGGTTTCTGGCCATACAGCCATGGCTCCACAAGCAATCTTTGCACTGGCAAGCAGCCCTCTGATTTCCAGGAGCTTAGCTCATGTCTCATATGTTTAAGCAAAAGAAGCAAGCTCGAGTACATCAGCTTCAAATGTAAAGAATACAGTCACTTCACATTATGACTATTGGTTGACAAAACATAAAAGAAAAGGTAGCAGTAAGGAAGAGACAGCTCAGGATGCCAACTCCACTATACTTACAACTACAACAATTACGATGGGCCCAGCGAAACTCCAGATAAGGGTGTCATGAACAGACAACCAGCAGAAATCAGGGTTCCCATAGCCTTGTGGATCCAGACCAACAGCAAGCCCTGGGTCACAAAATGGAGAGAAAGTACATCAGAAAGGTGCTGCTGAGATCTTGTATATAACCAGGCACATTTTCAAATCACTGTCTGACAAACAAAATGATAATGGCAAAATGTGTTCAATAGGATGGTCTGGGAAGTCAAAATCAAGGCAAATATTGAAATAAAACTTCAGTAAATCAAAACCTTTACGCTGGTCACTCCATATCAAATGATACTATGAGTTTTGCCTACCAGAATAAAGTTCAGCTGCATAAAAATGACAATAAGTGCAAGTCCCAAATTCATTCTGTTTCAGCACAGTTTTATAGTCATACTCTCACAGCGTGATGAAGCCTTGAGGGTGAGTGACATGTTGAGGAATTTCAATAAGCCTATGTAGCAGAATGACATGAATCATAACTGAGGAGATGTCTATACTACAAAAAAAGTGCATTCTTAACTGCTTGCTGTCACTAAAATAACACCAGAGACAAAGGAACCTGGGAACTCATGGGAGTTAACTGCTTGAGCTCAGGTGGGATTCATCTTGAGCTGCCATCCCAGGTACCTCACCTTGCTTTCAGCGCTGTTTGAAATGGAGTTTGCTAATGCCCCAAGGCAATTGAGTTAAGAACACACCTTTTATTGTTTTATTTTTCAAAGCCTGGACAATTCCAAGGGAGTCTCTGAGTCCAACCTCCACCTGCTGATTTACAGTGCCATCTGATTTGGTGACCTACACCTCGCCCATATGGCGATGGACTGGGATTGCTGCCTTTGACCTGCAAAATACTGCAGAGGTCTTCCTTCTTCAAGACACAGAAATTGATCCCTACGAGGCCTATGGCCAATGACATATGGTAAACGGCTGCAGCATGTTGTCTGGGCATCAGGGGCACCTATTGCGTTGAGCGTATGTCCTGACTCAAGCAGGCGGCCAAGGTTGATGGCAGTGCCATTCTCCGCAAAGAGAATTCATGTGCATTAATAAACGCCTTTTTTTTAATTGAAGCCTGTGTGCTTTGATGAAAAGACACTGAAAAAGGGAGAGGTAGCTGCATTTCACTCTCACTGCTTAAAGCTGGCCCACAGCCAATATTCACATCTGGTACAAGCCTACGGTCTATGAAAATTAAACTGGCTATTTGGCAAAGCAGTGGATATTGGATCTGTTTTCTCTGAAGTGTGGAATGAGATAGGACTGGTCTCCCTCCCTGCTCCCATTGGCCCTTCCACCACCTCCTTCAGCAGTTGCCATCCAGAAAGAATTAGCCATAAATGATTAAGGGACCATAAAGTATATTATACAGATGTAATTCTACAGACACAGCCTGTTTCCCAGGACTTGATTTCCCCATTAGTGGGACTTAAACTACATTTTGACCAAACATCTGGCTCTAAAAGTAATTGGCAGACAGCAACATTTTTTCACTCTCAAAATCCCACTCTAAAGTTCTCCATTAAACAAATGGGGCAAATTGCAATCTTCAGGTACGCGGTTCAAATTTTACTGGAGTCAACAATATGTGAAATAACACTTTACCCAAAGGTAGAATTAAGCCAATGCAATGTAATATAGAGAATCATTTTGGCACATCAATTAAATGCTGCAGCCTGGTCGTCCTGAGCAGACTAAGCGTGTGGGCTGCATAATAGCTAACTGACGTTGGCAGAAACCAGGGCTGGTCCTATGGCTGAGGCGAGCGTCCTGTGGGGACCACCACCCATCCCAGGAGTGTGTCAAGAGCATGCTGTGGGGAGGTGCTGCTGGAGGGGCACGTTTTGGATCTTCTGAGCTCCTGTGGGCTCAGCAGCCGCGTGCGACTCAGGCTACTGCGGGTCAGCCTCACCTCTCTTCTGACTCATCGCCTCGCTTAGTATTCACAGCAAATAGCAGATTTGGAAAGTGCCATTTTCCGGGGGATATTGGTTTTAGGGCTATGTAAGAACCTGTTTTAACATGAGCACTGCAGTTTCCACAGCAAAGCAGTTACAGCACGCATATGCCAACCGGTTAGCGTGTTGCCACGAACACACGCAGAACTGGAGGGGTCTTGCCGGGTGCCAGATCCAGCCCTTTGCTCCTGAGGCAAGGAAGTCATAAAATCCCTCTCTTAGATGGATCAAACTACATTTTAAAATGAGCAAGCTTAAAGCAAATTTAAAATGCTCCACTATCGCTCCCCATGGAGGAATATTGCAGATCTGCACTCTTTCGATGGCTGTAAGCCTTCTCCCAACTTCCATCCTACTTTTATTCATGGCAATTTGCTTTTCTATGCTGTGATTAAATGTGATTCTTCCCTGCTGGAGTGTTCTCTATGTAAACATTTTGCTAGGTTTTTCCCCCTGCAAAGGTCAAGGTTCCCTTCTGCAAGTAGCCTGGTCCCATCAAAGATGCCTTAGGACCACTATGTCCCAGCTTGAAATGAATGTCAGTTCGAGCACGGAAAATAGAAAAAATAAATAAACAAAACAGAGTAAAGCCACTGCTACTGTAGGTTCATGTTTTTTTTTCATGATAGCTATGATAAAAATGAAATGGGCTAGATATTTATCTTTCAAATAAAACAAAAAAGTCCTTTGGATGTCCAGGACTAAAATCCCTTCCTATATCTAGACTTTTCCACTATTAAGAAACATACACAATCCTTCTCTCATAAAGCAATTTAAAAGAAATTGCATTTAAGATCATGTTATGAAGTTGGAACCTTTTTACTGTTATATATTAAAATTTAAAATTTATAAAAGAAGCTTATTTAAAATATGTACAGTAACAAAGTTTTCCAGTGGCAAGAAATCCCACATTGTGCTATTTATGATGAAATAATTTTCTCTTCAGACGATTTCTAAACCTGGAAGGACAAACTAAAAGCTTAGGTTTTTTTATCCTTCGTTTCACAAAATCCTCTGACTTGCTCAGTAATAGGGATCTGACTTTTCATTTAAATGAACTGCAAATTCAGTAGATTTAGAGTTTAAATTACAGGAGACAACCGGGGACCATAACTCATAGTTTTAAAAGTGCAAAATAGTTCTATATCACAGAGAACAATATCTAAGTAGAAAAATGTAAAAATGGTGTACTTGTAATATTTAGATTGCATAATACTGCTGTTGAGAAGTTCTGAATTAATTTAAAATTCAGAAGAGAAACTAAATATGAAACAGAAAATCCTTCTGACAAAATTCTTCTGAAGAGTTATGTCTTTGGAAACACAAATTGTTTACTGCTATTTAATGATAACACTTCTTTTCTACCAGAAATGATGCTGCCAACTATCTGATGGCACTTAAACATTCCTAAATATATTGCAGTAGTCCTGTATGTAGTGATAAAAGTTACACAGGTCTGAAATGTTTTAGAAGTTCAAGGACGATTTCTATTTAAAATGTCAAAGATACGTCTAGAGTGGCAGAGCCTTCTGAGCTGTACCTTCCACTGTGTTCTGGAAAAATTGATAGAAGCAGAGATTATTTATGCACAAGGTGATATGGAAAAAACTTACCAGCTCTCCAGAATGAAAGCTAACCTATACTAACCTATGTTATGTTTCTGTATTACGCTTTCTTAAGTCACATAGAAAAAAACCCCACATATTTTTATAATTCTAACTTGTTCCACAGTATTTTTCCAAGTTTATATGAGTGATAGCTATTTGTTTGATCTGAGGGACACCTAAACCTCTGCCTTTGCTGACAGTATGTTGCTATCTGTAAAAACAAAAGTAATTGGATGAAAGTTAACTGTCTGCCTATGATCTGATTTCCCATATGGCAACAGATACATGCTGAAATAGTTGAACCAAAAAACCCCGCTCCAACTGTTCTGCGAAGTTCACTTCCCAAGGAGCTGTCTGCCTGAATTAACACAGCACCATGTGCTTAGGGTAGCACTGGAAATGTCTGATTGCAAAAATAGGCATGGTGAGGGTGGAGATGGATGTGCTCCTGTGGATCACTCTGGAACAGTTTAAAAGATTACTGCCTCCAGCTTTTCATTACTTTTCCTCAACTGGAAGTTATTGCCTTTGTATCTGAAATGAAGTAAAAAGCTGCTGAGTATTCCCAGCTCGTTTTTATGCCAAGTAAAACAGAACTGCTGAAATCCCCTTCAGGGAGCATTTACTGCTGCTTGAGGGTAGGCAACGGGAATGTCCAGTGAAGGGCAGTAATGCCCTGTGGGCAGCATCGCTGCTGAAGCCACTGCAGCTACTCCCCCGAGAAACCGTGTGTCCATATCCTGAGGTACCAGCACAGGGAAGGAAAATTTCCTTCTACTGACTACAGGCAAAGTTGTTAAAATAAAAATACTGTTATTCCCAAGCAATGTTACCAAGTCCTGTTTTAATCTAGGTGCAATTATGTTTATGTTCTTGTAAAACCCTCAGTATCACTTCAACTGGGGCAACAGACATTTGGTACAGATCTGCCAAATTCAGGCTGACTTCTGCTAGACATGATTTCGCGTTGCCGTCGTTCAGGAAAACACTGAAGTGACAGCAGTAGTTGAGTGCACCCATAGCTGTGTTGGATAGGGTAACTTTCCTGAATCTGGCCAGTGAAGATGGCAGGGAAGGGAAACGAAGCTGTTTTGGGGTGGTTGAGGGTACCTGTTATGATTTTCCCCAGCCAACGACGTAGTAGAACCGCATGTGCCCGAAGTTGATGTTCCTCACTTCAGTCAGCATCCGGTAGATGTGGAGCTGCTCCACGAACATCCATGCAAAGGTGCTCATGTAGAAATAATGCAGGAGGATGGCAATCACAGTACACACAAACTGCAGAAGGGAAAGGGCAGGGAAATTAAAGTTGCTCTCCCGAATCACAACCTGGTGAGTCACCAGCCCTCCTGTGCAG